TGTTCAAGTGAACAATCTTGTACTAAATGCTTTAGGTTTTATTGGTAGAAGAAGATTTCAGTTTTTCGTCTAAGAAGACGATTGTGTACTTTATTGGCTCAACGAAATGTAAGGGTATGACTTTTTTTATTGAAAAGATAAAGGTAATGTTTCAAGGTCTCAAAGATAATGAATATCAAAATTTGGTCATTTGGTAGTGACCATGAATTATTTCGGGTAAAGAATCGAGATATTTTATTTTGGGGTTTTAGACGGGATAAGAAAGGTAAAATCTTTTCATATGTCAAAAATCTGTCATTCTTGAAGAATTAAAAGAATCTGTAATTCATTTGATATTCGAAGAACTAAAGATTAAAACTCGTTCAATTATTCAACCTTAAAAGGTAGCATAAGTTCAATCATTAAAAGATTAAACATATTTAAGCAAATATTAAAGACAGAACAAAAACGAGTTCAAACGAAGCAATGCTCTCAATGCAATTGCAAAAATGCTTCAGCTTTCAACAGAATGTCTGGAGCTTCCTATGTGGTAGTTGCTTGCGGAATCAACATCCTATACCTCAAGATATGGGTACTCTTTGGGCTTGGATCATCTTGGAAGGTTCAACCCTACGAACATCTGAATAGACTCCCACCGTACTGATTTCATCTTTTTCTTTAATTGTTCAAATCTTGCTTCCATATGGTGTCACGTGGTTAGGACCACTTCATCGAATCCTCCACACATTAATTCCATGTTTTTATGAATGATGTATAAGAAAATACTTGAATAAATGAAATGCATATGCAAAATAAAAAGATGCAAATACAGATGCAAAAATATTGATCCCAACGATGAATATCGTAGAACAATTTTCACCAGATATAAAAGCCTTCACATTACAAGATAATCCATTTCACAGACACATTTTTGCTTAGATGTTGAGTCTGAAATGGATCACTACTTCGTCTCGAATCTTCGTCCTTGAAGATGATGCCCCTCAATGCTCTGTTAACTAACTTGGTTAATGCCCCTGTGGTGCTAAAGTCAGTGCGTCACTCCTTGGTGACTAGCAATGAAATTATCGTAGATAAGAATCTACTGCTGGATTACTCCTCGGATCAGTAGATCATAATATCAGTCTTGAATGTTGAACGATCTTCGAGCAAGTCTCATTTTGGTATTTTGGACTCCTTTCAGCCCTCGGTATATGTCTGTATACATGACTGCTTGATTGAAAACTTTTATCTCTTCTTGTGAAAATTTTCTCTCGAATATTCCCTTGCGGATCAACACTTTCTCATTATGAAATGTCGATGAGATGCAATGCAAAGAAGAATAAAAAATGACACGAACAAAAGAAAAGAAATATGTTAGTACTGATAAGATAATTGATACAGATAAAAATATTCTTCAAAGATGAATATAACACCTACTTGTCATGATATCTACCCAAACATGCTTTTATTAAATATCATTCCTACCCGGACATGCTTTCTACCCAAAATGATTAATTTTCAATAAAATAATCCTAACCGCATGGTATCTAGTTCGCATGCTTTTATTCAAAAAGAATAAATATATTCTACGAACTAGAAATGCTCCTCCTTTGTGTACATCTAATTTGGTACCTACTGACGGATAGAGGTTCGGTATAGCTATACCTAGGGTGACCGTTCTACAGTTCACTATATGCATGGTTTCGACTTTATGAGGAAAAGGGTACTCGAATTGTCCTTGATGTCGGTGCCCCCTTGGACTACCAAACCCTTGATCCTAACCCATTACAGGTATCGAACGGAACGAGTTCAATTCAAGGGGATCCACTGTCTTATACCCATACGATGAATAAATCCCTACGGAGCTATAAAGTATGTATTCCATGGGTTATTTGCTAAAACTCAAATTCTTACGAGAGTAAAGCATTCACCCCGACTTATTTGGAACGAAGCTTGTGCCTAGAGCTTATGTTATGCAAATGCATGTGATGTGTGTGAGGAGGAACATACAAACCTTTGACTCAAAAAAGGGAAAAGTAAAAACTCTCAAAAGGAACTTTGATGTAGCTGAAAACAAAAATTAAACTGTTAGAATGAAAAATATAGAAATTAAAAACTTCAATAAATGGATCATAAGTTAACTAAAGACTCGAACTCATAATTTCCACCACAAAAATAATGTGTAAGCGACCTATAGCCTGACTGTCTAAAAAAAGTCCCCAGCGGAGTCGCCAAGCTGTCATAACCATTTTTTTGATAAAATAATTAAATATTATTTTAAAAAACAATTATGACTTTATTTTGAAAAATTGGGGATTTTGTATTAATTTGGATTAAATTGAATAGGAGTCGTCATCGACCTTTGGGTTAGGTAGGTTGAATATCTACGTCTTTTAAAACAATTTTAAGAAAAATCATTTTTTAGACAAAATCCGATCTGCGCTACCAAATATTCATTTAAATGGATTCGGAAGTCGGTTACGCGTAGGGAAGGGTTAGCACCCCCCACATCGCCCAAAAATTGGTACTGAATCGCTTACACGTTGTCGTAATTGTGGAAATTAGGAATCGAATATAAAATTAAAATATGATCTATTTATTGAAATATAATTAATTTACTTCGAATTAATTAATTAATTTACTTTGAATTAATTAATTAAAGAAAACCCTTTAACTCAATAAGAAATCTTGAGATTTACAATCCTCCGTCGGGAAAGCTATCTCAACTATTTCTCATTCGTAAAGAATATTCTCCCCACATTGATTTTAAAAACAAAAATCGAATATAACTTGAATATCAACATAAAATAAAATAAAATGGCTAATTATAAATATTTATTACATTGTTCGACTTAAAATAAAATGAATTAATAATTAGCAGAATGAAATCGATTTATTTCAAGTTCGCATTTTGTTCGAATGTCATATCGAATTGTACCACTTCGACCAAGTGATACTTTCCACGCCCATTCTACAAATATCATTCTCGAAACAAATCGATATATAAAGAACACAATGAAAACAAATACAATTTGAAATTTATAAAATAAATATTTAAAACACATAAAACTAATAATGTATCTAAAATAATATCGAGAGTCGTTATATACAAAATACATATACATGAAAGACTAGAATGAAGTAAAATAAAAAAAATCACAGATCTAAACACAAATAACATAAAGAATCACATTTGATTATTTTAAGGGACCAAAATAAAACTAACAGAAACTTGAGTGGCTAAAATAGTGAAAACATACATTTAAAGGACTAAAATAGAAAAAATAGAACTTTAAAGGACTAAAATAAAAAAATAAAAATTTGAAGGGCTGAACCACAAATATAAATAAACCAGAGCTAGAAAACGAAAATATTAAACATTATAGATACTAGAAATGAAAATAACCCATAAATCAAATAAAGGACTAAAATGAAATAAACCAGAAACATAAGTGACCAAACAATCATTGAACCAAATACCAAACAATGACTAAAATAAAATATTTACAAATCTTAGAGCCAAATTCAAACACCAGCCAAAATACATAATACACAAAACCAATGACTAAAATGAAACTACTACAAATACTATAGCCAAAGTCAAACATTAATAGAAATAGCATAACATGTAAAATGGTGACTTATATACAAAAATTGAAAGTTGAGAACCCAAAATAGAATAATACAATAATTATATTAATGGCAAAAAAAGATATTACAAAACCATAAGGACCAGATTTGATATTACCTCATGCGAGAAAATACAAAACCCGTCCCCCTCAAAACGATGTCGTTTGGTGTCGAATATAAAAGCCTAAATTCATGCCCAAAATATCATCAGCCTTCATTTTCCATCCCCATCGTCTGAAGGAGAAAGAGAGAGAGAGCGAGATCTCAGAAGCAGGCGAGCAAACGTCGTATCGATCATCGCTGACAGGCAGTCACCACCGTATGTCGGCGTCGGAGGGTAGAGAACAAGACGCCATCTGAAGCTCCTCTTGGCCCTGAGCAAGGATCTAGGCCCCCTTTGGCATGAAAATGGCCCAAACGTTTTAGATCCAAGAAGAAACCTTTCGATTTCTTCAGCTTAGACGCCAGTGCAATGGTGGGTATCACCCAAAGGTAACTTTTTCTTTCTTTCCTCTCTTCTTTCTTTCTGTTTTCCCCGAATCCCTTTGTGTTTCTCTCTCTTTCTCTCCCCCCGAGCCTTTTCTCTCCAATATTTTTTCTCTCAAAACCCCGAATATATTTCCCCCTCCTCTGAAACTAGTTCCTTTTTTCTTTTTTATGTTGATGACCCTTTGCACGTTGATATCCTGAGGTAAATCCCCTCGGGATTTCCTTGTGATTTGCTTTTATTTTCTTTATTGGATTTTCTTTGATTGCTCCGACTTTTTTGTGCTTGATGGAATTATTGTCATTGTGGTTGTCACTGTAGGATGGATGGGTTCTAATCGACTCCAATTGCGGTGGTGGCGAGAGTGAAATCTGGCTTGAGCGGCGGCTGGATGTTATCCATTAAGGTGAAACCCTAGTTTCAGGGCGATCTGGACCGTTGGTTGGGTCCAAATCCAACGGCTTGTTGGAGGCAACGCTGGCAGCTGAAGAGAAGAAACCCTAGAGGGTTTGGGTGTTGGGCCTGGACCAGGTCGGATTCGGGCCTCAGGTCTAGACTCCAACTGGTTTGGGTTTTGCTTTGTTGTTGGGTTGGTCGACTGGGCCTGGGTTGATGTTGTAACTGGGTTGGGCTCTAGGTGAGGCCTGCAAAACAATGTAATATGTATTAATAATTATAATTAATAATAATAGTAGTAATAAAATAATTATACAATAATAATAATATAATATTTTTGTAGACTCAGACAAAAATGGGTGTCTACAGAGTTGATATAATAATCACATATGTAAAGGTTTAGCCAAGATAGCCACCGCCTTCACTACACGAAAAGGGGGGGGGGAACATAGGTTTACACCAGGTAAATATAAATATCAACAGGTTGCGAAGAATGATATAACATTACCATTAGGGGACCAGGGCGAATTATTGTGTACCCAAGACCTGATCTTCTCAATGAATCCTCACCAGCCTGAAGATTACTCATCATGATTCATGACAACTTTGTATGTAAGAAAAGGATAACAGAGAATGAATCGTTCTCACATTAATAGAAACAGAAGCAGAAGATAAGACTGACCCTCTTGGCTTTCAAAACTTGCTCCCTTCTGTTTGGCTCAACTCCTAATCCTGTGCATGAGACTAAAACAAAATCTGTTTCCTGTCCCGTCTGCAAAATGTCAAAGTAGATTTGTTCAGGACTGGGAAAAATGATTGATCATCTTCAAAAATATTGCTTAACCAATTAGGTAGGGCTTCTATAATATGGCACCCATTCAATGCATGCACACATGTGAATGTTCTGCTTGCGCACGGGCGTGTACGCACGGGTGTGTACACACGGAATGAAGCAGAACTCTATGTAAATAGAAAACTAGAACACCAGCCATTTCAGCCCAATTGGTATTGCCTTAACATGGGTATATTAAAGGCAGTGGCTTAAAGCTACAATGCGTTTTTCTCGATTAACTTCATAACTACCGTATCACATTATCCATACTAGATACTGTTCCTAAATGTTACCAAAAAGGATTCAACGGTGCTTATCTTTTATGTTATAGCATAAAATGATAGTATAAACTATAAAGTATCCCTGAAGGTCCTTCTGTAAAAGAACGAATATATGTAAAACACTTACAGGCAAGGCTTTTATATATTCTAATATAAGCTTGAAATTTCGGGGGTCTTGCCTCATTCCTGCTGATCCTTCAACAGGCCTCTGCAGCAAGAATCCATACAATTAGACTTTAGAAGCTTTAAAAGCATAATAGTGATTATTTGATCAAGGGGAACAAGAGATTGATAAATCATCAGAAACCAGTGTTACAGGATACAGATGCCATGATTCTCCTTGGTTCGGAAATCATTTACACAACATGATAGCAAGCTACCACTCAAATCACCGAAGACATCTATCACTATTAGTTAATAACTTTTACAGCTTGAACCATCATATTCAGCCAAAAAACAGAAGGAAAAAAATGCAAATGCACACAGCAAGACCAAAATTATCAACTTTTCCTTAGGCGGATTGTGGAATTTCACATGCCAACTATGAACAAGCAACCCACTTGATAAAAGTTATTAAAGACAAATGCACACGACAAGACCTAACTTAACAACAACATTTCCTAAGGAAGATTGTGGAATTTCATATACCATTTCTGAAGTAGCAACCCACTTGATAACGGTAATGAAAGACAAAGGCATACAACAAGACCTAAATTAACAAAAACATTTCCTGAAGCAGATTGTGGAATTTCATATGCCAGTTATGAACTAGCAACCCACTTGATAACCATAACAAAAGACAACCTTGAAAATCTGATGATCTAAAAACCAAAATCATTTACCATTCAAAGAGTTATACCAATACCTTTGAGAATAAATCAGGTAAGGATTCCTGAACTTATACGAGTTTTTAAACTAGGTGAGTTAGTGCAAGTTTAACAGTAAACAAACCTGTCGTCATGGCTCAAAGCGTATAGTTACTGTATGTACAAGGAATGGATCTAATGTTGGATCATTTGGGTTCACAGGACGGAAGGATGAAAATGGCACTCTTATCTGTCAATCACAGTAAAGAGGAAAATATGTAATTTAATTAACAAGCCTCAGCAAAATTCTTAAGAATTAGAAGATTTGGTGCATAAAATGGTTATAACTGAAAGCCTATAGCTTTATAAGGATAAGAGATCATTACCCGACAAAATCCTACTTTACAAAATCCTACTTTTGTATTTATTCGGGCAAAATATAATTTGCTTTGAGTTGTATCTGCTGAAGGACCAGCTTCAAGAATTACGTCATATGATCTTCCATCACCACCAACAGAGAGGACAAGACCTTCATACCTGAACACCAAAAACTAATCTGACATGCACTTTAAGGTGGAGTCAATGTATCTGTCAATAATAAATCAAATAACATCCTGCTTCTGCTATGAAAGAAAGTACATAGATAATGGAAGTATCATACTATCAAGAGTGCTACCTAAAGGAAGTGAAAGCTTTTTGGAGAGCTCGACATATCCACCTCTGGTTAAAACATAGCCTACAGTTGAGCATCAAATTAGCAAAGTTAAAGATAGAATAGCCTATATTTATCAAAGGTGATAGCCGCACATGAAGGGTGTAAATCTCAATTGCTTCAAGCTAGGCATAATGATATTTTAGCTGAAATTGACCTGAAAAAAGTTTGTCCAGTCTCAGTAAACTCAAATATAGCATCCATTCCCGCTTCATACTTCGAAGCAATAACATCCTGGAAGTAAGGTCCTTGACGTACTTCCCATCCATTCAATTAATCTTCAGATTTGAACTTAGCAATCAGAAGATTGCTTTTGCTGCTTTTCCCTGCCCGAAGTTGTGCCAGTTTATTAATATAGTCCAGCAGAAAATGTTAAAAGTCAGTTCACCAAAGCTATTTTTAGGAATAAACATAGATTGATCATTCTGCTAGTATAAAACATGGTAATGTACATAGACAGATAATATTAAAACAAGTTCACTAAAGAAATGCACTGCTGGACCCGGAGAGAAAAGAAATCTAATGAAAACAAAAAAGGATCATTTATTCCCTGTAGAGCAGTGATGATCTGTTTTGAGCATTAGGATGCATGGAACATCCACACACACGCACAAAAGAAAAAAGCCTTGGAAGAACCCATTGCGTTCAAATGTGCATATAATATTAAAAATGGACAAGAAAGGGGGGGACATGAATTGCTTTGGTAAGGTTTGAAACCCCTTGATGGTCAACTCTGTAGAGATCGCCGGTAATAGTGGACAAGAAAGGGTCACCCACATCCCCAGTTACTATCTCAACTGTCCTAGGAATCATGTCCAACACCTCTTGGTCTGCCTTCCTAACCAAAGCCTTCAATCACATAATTAAACAAAACACATTAATCAAAATAAAGTTACAAGATTTGAAAAAAAACCCAGCTCTATAACCTATCACATTATAGTTTTCGACCTCTTTTAGGAATTGAAAATGCTTTTGAACTAGCTAAAACGATCAAATAGAGAAACAAATGACAGTTCAAAGTCAGAATTTGATACTTTAAACTAGGAAAACTAGTATTCGAATTTTAAACTATGATCAAAGGAATGAAAGAGAAGAAGGTGGTAGAAGGAAAGCAACCTTGACAATGTACCCTCTGAGCATGAGCTTACGGACAACAATGCGTCCAATTCGGCTGGTAACACCAACAACAAGGACAGTGGTATTTTGAACACCAGGAATTGCAAACTCACACATGGGTCCTTCCCGAATAAGCAAAGCATCCAAAGCTTCCCTTTTATCGGCACGAGTTGTCCTTGATATCTGCCCCAACCCAGAAAACTTCCTCCAAACGTCGTCAAATATTTGACGGGATTTACGTCCCAACCCCACTGGATTCACGTCGTCCAAACTCAATGAAACTTGCTGCTGCTGTTGCTTCGGTGGCGGCGTCTGTTGTGTCACAGATTCAGTTGTCGTAGTTGTAGTAATCGGAGTTGGAGAAGTTTTTTTTTAGTTTTGGGTTTTCTCTTGTTGCCTTTTCCATTGTCGGGAGAGGCAGCACCGCGAGGTATAAAGAAGGTGGTACGTTGACAAGGTGAAGATTGCCATTTGATCCAGTTGGGGCAGCTGTTCAGACTGTTGCTGAAACTGGTTGATGAACTCATTGCTGGGTTCTTCTTTTTTAATCAATTTAGTTAAAGATTAAAGAAAGATCATATTCGATAAATAAATGTGTATTACTGTGAAATGGATAATTATAAAGAAAGATGATATTGCCCTTTTATTCATATAAACCGGAAATGAATTAAAAGAAGAGTGGATGGTTAAAGCTTGAGAGATCAAAATCAAGGGAAGAAGCCAGTAAAAGCCAGAGGATACATGAAAACACAGACTTTTGGTGCATTGCGAGCAATAAATAGGTTGGAGCCAATAAGCGCTCCACGTTGAATTACTCGCTTCCTCCCATCCCCATGCGTGGATAGGAGAGGCTTCAAATTATGAAAATTGCGAGAGGCCACATTTTAACTCATCTCGTTCATATTCTAAATCTTTTGGCATTATAAAAAATAGTGAGGAAAATGTAAGATTCTTTTCCCTAAGATTTTTTTTAAAGTAAGTTTCAAAGAAATGTTACAATTTAATAAAATTGAAAACATTAAGCATATTTACATTTTTTAAAATTAATAATTTGAAATTTTATATATTGGTTTTTTGCTTCGACACATGACAACATTTCATTAGACTAAACATACTTTTTTCAACCTTTTTATAAAATTGAAGTTAAAGGTCGAATTAACCTAAAAATAATAATTCGAAGTGAGAACGTTACTACACCATAGTACAACCGTTTCAAAATCTCTTGCAGGAAAACCACCAGCATAAAGAAATATAGTACTCTATAAGGTGTTAAGTGCGAAAATATATAACCATAATTTCTCAGTATTGATAATAAAAACGAATTGGAACTAAGCTCCCTCACTCCCAAGATAAAGAAGCCGTTCTACAAAAAGGTAAAAACATAGACAATAACCAAAATTCAAAAATAATAAGAATTGAAACTATTGTCCCTCATTCCCAGCGTTCCTGTGAGAAAGCGATTTCCAAAGGTTTTGAACAATTATAACACCAAAGGGACGACAATGAATACCAAAAAGAAAACTAACATAATAACCTAATCAGGGCATTGACACACATCTATACTTTGAATTCCGAGGCGACTATTGCAGGCTGATCGGATCTTAAAGAACTCATTAACTTTAGGGGATCAGGATCCAGTCACGGGTTCCATGAATGATAATAATATGCCGTAACAAGCCATCACCAGTCAATCTGTTTGCAGAGTATTGTATGCCTATACCCCTTCTGAGCTTCTACAGCTTTCCCAATCGGTGCCAAGTGAACCAGTGGAGCAGCACAAAAACTATTTTCTACCTGCCTTTCTTGAAGAGAGCATTTTTCATCAAAAAAACTCCAAATTTATATTTACAATTTGGCTTTACCCAGAATTACCGGCAACCTCTGCAGCTCTCTGCCTCATCATCTCCATCACAGCAGCCCTTCGCCGTGAATCAGACTGCTGTTGAAGCCTCCTCAAATGTTCCTTAAGATCTCTGCATTAATTTTTTTAAAGAAATAAAATTGTTAGAGATTTAAGTTTAAATCAATTAGCACAAACAGAGAAAGAAGTATAACATATGGCAGCTCAGGAGGGCAAGAGGCACATGGATACCTGCACCGTGGTACATGGCATTCAGATTCTTTGCATGCTCGAGCATGAAGTTGCAGTAGATACCACATTTTCTTACAAAGTACACAACCACCAGAAACACGTCTTCTGCATTGTATTCCATGGCGGAAAAGCCCTTTCACTTTCCGACAGTTTGGGTATTGGCAATGTGGAGAACGACATTGTGATGCATGCACCAAAAGGTCAAGCATTTTCCTCAGCTACAAATTTCAAGAAACAATCCCGTTAGCATCTAAAATATGCCATATTGTCATAAACTCATTTTCCGAACAATCTAGTTGCCAAATCAGAAGGAAAATAATATATTTGGGGAACATAAATACTTTACATGCATATTTCAATACTCATGCACAAAGTGCCAATAGAGAAATCCAGTTAGACAGAGTTCTTAGTCACACGTCCCTATGTTATAAAGTAATTTTCTGACGAACACCATTGCTGGTTTCTGAACTGATGCTTATATATCTAAAAATATACACATGCGCAGCAAGAAAAACAGAGAAACAGAGATGCGTATATGTTTTGATGAGGTTTCCCTGGTTAACCACACTCAACTAATCAAAGAGTTAATCTTTCTATTACAAAAGAGTTAAATAAATTTATTAAAAAATTACCTGTAGAACCCGTAGTTGCCTAGCTTCCTTATTCTGTGCATCACGTTCAACCATGGATGGATGATTTGTTAACTTATGAGGATGATCAATGCCCCCATCCTTGTGATAACAGGAGTTGCACACATCATAATCGGGGCAAACTTCGCAGCGCCAACCTTGACCAGTTTCAATGTCCAGCTGACATACATTACAGGTCGTGACAAATGCAGGTGCAGTGGGATTGTGTAGATGATAAAGAACCATCATTGACGAATGTTTAGCCCGCCTTAGGGTATCATACTGATAATGATTCCCTTGACAAAGACTCAAAAAAGCCTGCCTGGTATCGAAGAATTCACTCTCAAGAATTTCATCTTTATCCTTTGTATCAGTAGGCACATCAGTAATCTCAATCTGCACCGGAAAAATTTTCCACAAAATTCAATTAAGAAAAGAAAATTTGCATGCAGAAGCAGAGCATTGGGCACAAATACTGGAAGTAAATTACTATAATAATCAGACAAACTTACTGGATAGAGAACATGTTTCTCCCTCTGATTAATGGGATGTCTCTCTCTTTCATCACGCTTCTGCTCTGTTTCATAGCACCTGTGAGGGATAACGAAGCAAAGATCATATCCGTTTATCTAGGACATTTTCTCCTAGATGACAGATGCAGACTGAAATAAGATTGAACCCTGCGTAGATTCAAACTTGCAAAATAGAAAAATAGAAACACAATAACGGAAATACTTAACTATATTAATGAAAGGGGGCATATTCCTTCCACATATAAATTTGATTCAAAATTAGTGGTTCATGCAGCAGAATCATATTCAATTCATAAAAACAAACTGATAAAATCGTAGCAATCAAGAGAATTACATAAATATAATTCTACAGCCAACACAGTCAGACAGATGAGGCAACCATACAAAATAATAATATACAGCTAAATAAAGGAGCAGACATACTTGTCACAAATTTGAAAGTTCTTGCACTGGTTGCAGACCCAACGGTTTCCAGATACCATAAGAATACAACAATGAGTGCAACAATGCTGCAAATGAACCATGATAAAATCCTCCTTCATTGGAGAAATGGTCTCACCAAGCTAAAGTAGAGAAAAATAAGGGAAAAAGTACCAACCAGTTAGAGTCCCTTGGGACATGATATGAAAAATGTAACACTAAGAAAGCAAGATTGTAATTTCCACATCTACTGGTAAATAGAAGAAGATACATTTGAAAGAAAATAAATTACTTTATGCATCAGTAGCAGATCCTTTGATGCGTTAGAAGAGAGGTCAAACTGACCAGATGCTTTCAAAGCCCTTTTTGTTATAGTCTTTTTTATTGTTCCTTTTTTATTCAGCTTTCTGCCATCTTCTTGACAAAGCTGATTTATAAGATCTTCAGCAGCCCCAGGCCAGTAATCACCATCAAAATATGGCAGTCTAGCTGCTGTTACCTTTGCGTTACGTCCACCCATAGTTACAAAGAAATGATCATATAAATTAGTTAGATCAACTACGATGTTTTCCTTGGAAGCTTTCCTTAACATTGCTAAATACCTGAAACAGAATTACACATACAATGGAAATTAATAACAATGAATTCATAAAATATAACATGTGAGGCAAAGAAATTGTTTAATATATATATATATATATATATATATCTTGACTATTTGCCTCACCATTCTCGCAGTTTATCTGATTTTGGTGTTTTCTGAATTTCTGGATGACAATATATGATATAATCTTCACCCTTTAGTGGAGGGCAAGCCCATATATAGCAACTTGTAAAACCACGCTTCTTGCAATATTCAAGGTATCCAATCTGAAAAATTAAGGTTTAGATCCAATATTTTTTGCAATGACCTACACTAAATAGATACTGATACAATATGTAAAAAAAAATTGTGACAACAATTATATCAGTAAGCAGAATCCAATGAAGGTTCAGACTTACAAGGATTTCTTGGTAAACAAATGTACGGAGAGCCTCCCCAGTAACTGTTTTAGCCTCAGGCCGGAAATACTTCACTGAGTCTAGATATGACAGATAAACACGACGCTGATTTGGGAATGCACATTCTGACCCAAATTCTTGAACATACATGCCAAACAAGCATACTTCTACCCCTTCTATCTTCTGAAACAACAAAACTACCTAAAAGAGAAAAACATAACTTGTAAGCATTAGATAATTACAATTAAAGTGCCATGCACATTTGTTAAATCCTCTAGTTAACATGGACGATACTGTAGGAGGATCGTGGGTTGCATTCGTTGACAATCTTAGTAGGAGAGTGCATAGGAGGGTATTGTGGGATCGGTTTAGCCGTTTTGGTAAGGTGATTAAAGTTTTTATTCCGTTTGTTAATAGCAGACCCAACTACAAGAACAAGACGTTTGCCTTTGTGCATTTTGCGAGTAAGGAGGATTTGATTACTGCTAAGGAGAAGATGAACAACGTCCTTGTTGATGGGAGGAGAATATTAGTGTCATATGCGAAATATCAGAGGAGTAGTGGTCCGAGGAACTTGAATCGCAATAGAGTAGTAGAGGCTAGAGGTGTAGGTGTCGAGGTTTCGAAAAGGCAAAATGCATCTAGCCAAGTGGTTGGGGCTAGGAAGAAGGAGATGATGAACAGGTTCCAGGATGGCAGAACATATAAGGATACGGTAGTAGGTTTGAAAAAAGATGAGGGTCAGCAATCCAGAAACCTTGGGGACAGGAGAGAGGAGAAGAAGGACATGGATTTCTTCATTCCTTTGGAGGAAAGATCATGGCTGAGGACTTCATTAACAGGTATCGTTAAAGTGATATTTGAGGTTGAGTTTGTGCAAAGGGCATTGAGAACAGAGGGAATCAATGTTAAGGTAGTTAGATGGGGTTATGCGAAAAATGCATGATTGGTAGTTTTCCGGTCTGTGGAGGAGAAAGAAGCATCTATAGAAGATAAGTGGGAAGCTTTGTCCTTTTGGTTTGAAAGGTTGGAGCCTGTGATCGAAGAGAAGGGTGTTCCATTACCTTACTGTTCAGTATCCATGATGGGCGTTCCATTAAAATGCTGGTCAGTTTCATTTTTTACTAGTTTGGCATCGAGATGGGGCAAATTAGTGAAGATTCAAGAACAGACAGCTCAAAGAGTTGATTGCAGGGTGGCTCAGATGTTATTAAGAGTTGAAAGTCCGTTTGACATCCCTCCATATGTCATCTTTAATAATCTTGGAAGGTCCTTTACTATCAAGATTAAGGTAGACAGCAGTGATGATTTCTTCCCTGAGCTTGAGGAAGGGGAAGATGATGAAAGGGTTGATGAAGATGGTTCTCAAGGAGGAACAGTGGTTCCTTGGGAGAGGGATTCGTCAGAGGGGAGCAAAGGGGAGGATCGAGGTGGTCTGCAAGGGCAGTTGAATTCTCAGCAGATGTCAGACTCTAGAAGCAGGGTTGAAGAGTGGGTTCGAGGTTTTTCACAGGGAGGTGGCCCAATGAACGAGGGAAATTTGAAAAATAGCGCTGAAGCCGAGGACAGTTTAAATGTTGACCTTTGTAACGAGGGGACAGTACTAGGTGAAGGTTGCAGCATGCAGACTGTGTCATGGACTTTTTCTGATGGGAGGAAAAAGGTGGTCAGCTTACAAGGAGACACCTCGGGGAAAGATAAAGTGGTCCAAGAGGATGGGCTTATTTCCAACATGGGTAGGAGGGAAGTATTTGGGCCTGAGCATTTTAGTCCATCAGCAAATAAGAATGGGTATAAGAATGAGGCTTCAATTTCAGATACACAGGTTGGATATGGTATGCAGAATGGGTCTGTGTCTCTATCACAGAGAATACCTTTTGGGGGGAGTGTATCGGGTAATAATGTCGCGAGAGGATATCATAATAAAGTTTATGCTAGGAGGAGGGCTACCAAAAGTTGTGATGGTATGGATGATGTTATTGGAGCAAGAGAAAAGAATCAGAGGAGGACAGAAGCAATGGAGTGTTGGAAAGTATCCAATTTATTGGGGGTAAAGTTTAAAGGAGGAGAAAAGGAATTCCTGACCAAAGTTGTTCCTTTGGTGAAGGATAGAGATGTTTGAGGGGTGGTAGTTGGTTCAGGGGTTATGGTCATAAAATGCATTTGATGGTAGAATGGTCCATTATGTGTTGGAATGTTAGGGGTCTGGGTAGGAAGGTTAAAGCACGTGCTATTAGGAGATTTGTAGAGGAGAAAAAACCAACTATCTTATTTTTGCAAGAATCCAAATTGGAAGCTGTTAGCACTATGTTAGGTAGGAAAATGGGAGGTAAAATCCTTAATGGTTTGGCAGTTGTGCCTGCTGTAGGTTCGGCTGGTGGTCTAATAACAATGTGGAATCAGAAGGTATTTGTGGTGAAGGAAAAGGTCATCCGAACTAGATTTGTGGCGTTAAAGGGTTGGTTGGATGGTATGCCAAACTATTGTTGTTTCATAAATGTCTATGGTCCAAGTGTGGAGGCTGATAAAGAGCCATTTTTCATGGATTTATTTTCCTTTCTGGAACAGGTGGACTGTCAAGTGTGTTTAGGTGGGGATTTCAATGCCTTTTTGACGCAGGAAGAGAAAAGGGGTGGTGATGTGAATTTGATGTCGATGAATATTTTTCGAGATTTTGTCTCTAAGGCAAATCTAATTGATTTGCCTTTATTGGGAGGTCAGTTCACGTGGTGTAATAATAGGGAAGTTCCCACTTTTGAGAGATTGGATCGGTTTTTAGTTGATCATAGTTTTTTCTCGCAATTCCCAAAGATCAACCAAAATCTGCAGCCTAGGTCCATTTCTGATTATAATATTATTCTGCTGGAGAATAGGGAGTGCAATTGGGGGCCGAAACCGTTTAGACTGTTTAATTATATGTTGGAGGAGGAAGGGTTTAGTGAACTGTTGACAAAAGAACTGTTCAATCTGGGTACACAGGAAAACTCGATACCCATTTCCAAAATTCTTAACCGGGTGAAGGATGTCGCAAAAAATTGGGCTAGTAAGGGTTTTCTTCAATTACCAGGCCGAATCAGAACCTTGGAGTCTGTGATACAGGATATGGAAATGAAATTGCAACAAGGGTCTTCTTTGGTGTCAATGAATTCTATTGTTGAAGCAAAGAGAGAATTATGGGAGTTACAAAAGAAGGAAGAATCAATTTGGATGCAAAAGTCTAGATTGAAATGGAGATTGGAGGGGGATAAGAACACAAGGTTTTTCCATCATAGTGCAGCAATTAGAGGGAGGATAAACTACATAAAAGCTATCAAAGTTGATGGTGAAGTTATTGAAGACCCTAGGTCAGTTAAAGCTTCAGTGGTGGAGTTTTTCAAGAGGTTGTATAATCAAACAAACACCCTGGAGGCAGAGAAATTAAATCTGGATTTTCTCAAGCTGTCCGAAGGTCAGTGTTTAGCTTTGGAGAAGCCTTTTTCTGAAGAGGAAGTTTGGGAAGCTATTGCTCATTCGGATATCAACAAAGCTCCGGGTCCTGATGGTCTGAACTTAGGGTTTTTTAAGAAGTTCTGGGCTAAATTGAAGGATGATATGATGAGGTTTTTTAGGGATTTCTATGTGGGGAAGGTATGGGAGCCGGAGGTGAACTTTTCCTTCATTTCTCTTATTCCAAAGAAGGCAAATCCGGAGGGGTTGGAAGAGTTTAGGCCAATTAGCCTAGTGGGAGGTCTTTATAAAGTCATCTCTAAGGTCTTAGCTAGAAGATTGAGTTTGTATCTCAATGATATTATAAGTCAGTCCCAATTTGCTTTTATTCCGGGGAGAAACATCTTGGATTGCTCTTTTATTGCAAATGAGAGTATTGATTTTTGGAGGAAGAGAGGGTTGAAGGGAGTAGTTTTCAAGGTGGATTTTATGAGAGCTTATGATTCGGTAGATTGGAAAATTTTGATTCAAATTATGAGCAAAATGGGGTTTGGTGAAAAGTGGAGGTCGTGGATGTTCCAGTGCATGTCAACTGCTGAGATTTCGGTTTTGTTAAATGGGTCTCCAACGGAGAAATTTCATATTTCCAGAGATCTGAGACAGGGTTGTTCGCTTTCACCTATGCTTTTCAACTTGGCTACTGAGTTGTTGCATTTACTGTTAACTAAAGCAGTGGATATGGGATTGTTTTCGGGGTTTGATTTAGGACTGCAGGACCGAGCATTCAAGCTGTCACACCTTCAATTTGCGGATGATCTTATAATTTTCAGTAAAGGTTCCATTCGTGGGTTGAGGAATATTAGAAGAGTGTTACTGATTTATGAACTTCTGGTGGGGCTGAAGTTAAATCTAGGTAAAAGCAGGATTTTTGGAATCAATGTTGAAGAAGGGGAGCTAACTAATTGGGCTGAAGTTATTGGCTGCTCGGTTGGATATCTTCCATCTCAATATTTAGGTCTGCCTCTGGGGTTCAAGAGGAATTCGGCTGCTATGTGGGATCCTATAGTGGCGAGATTTAATGCTAAATTGAGTGGTTGGATAGCTAATTCTCTGTCGATAGCGGGAAGAGTGGTTTTGGTCAAATCGGTGCTATGCTCTCTTCCGGTCTATTTTCTGTCTATGTTCAGAATCCCAGCTGCTGTGATACTTAAACTTAACTCTATCATGGCTTCATTTCTGTGGGGGAATTTGATTGACAAGAAAAAAATCCATTGGGTCAACTGGAAGTCGGTCTCTAAACCAAGAAATCTGGGGGGTCTAGGGGTCCCTAATCTAGCACTTTTGAACCGAGCTTTACTAGGAAAATGGGTTTGGAAGTTTTCTTCTGATAAGAAATCTTGGTGGAAGAAAGTGATTTGTGCCGCCTACAATTTGGATCCGAAGTCCATTGTTTTGGAGAATTCGGTGCCAGCTCGTGCATCGTGGATTTGGAAAGGTGTGGTGAAAAACTTCTTCAACAGTGATGATTTTGGAGAGTGTCTTAAAAGGAATATGCGTTTGAAGGCGGGGAAAGGGGAAGATGTGCAGTTCTGGAATGATGTATGGTTGGGTGATGTTCCCCTGAAATTGTTGTTTCCTAGACTTTATGTTCTATCAATTAATAAATCGGGTAAAGTGAAGGAGTTTAGGGTAAATAATGCTTCGAGTTGGGTGTGGGACATCCAAATGAGAAGGAATTTGGCTGATTGGGAAGTAGAACAGTGGATGCAGTTGATTTCTATGTTGAATAATACCTCTCCTTTTCCTACTGAAGATGATTGTTGGATTTGGTTAGGGAATTGTGAAGGAAATTTTACAGCTAAATCTTGTATAAACGCTTTTTATGAACAACGTGGTTCTGAGCAAAATCAAGTGAATTGGGATAAGAATAATTGGTCTGGTTTAGCTCCTCCAAGGGTGGAATTGTTTGTTTGGCAACTAGTGCAACATAGAGTACCGGTTAAAGAGGAGTTAGCAAAGAGAGGTGTTGCAGAGATTGTTGACCAACGTTGTGTTTTGTGTGGTAGGGAGGTGGAATCAGTTTCCCATCTGTTTCTGCATTGCAGGGTTGTGTGGGGTCTGTGGTCCTCCTTCTTGAAAATGTGGAATGTGTCATTGGTGACTCCAAAGTGTACCATGGAATTTCTAATTTTGTGGGATGATTTTATGACTAACTCTTTGATTTGGAAATTCATTCCTAGGGCAGTGATGTGGTCAGTATGGAAGTGTAGAAATGAGATTATCTTTCAGAAAGGAAAGCTGGATTTGGTCAGATTATCTTTCATTGTTAGATTTAGAGTGGCTTCCTGGTTTAGTGCTCGTTTCAAGGATGTGGGTATTCCTCTAGATTCTCTAGTAGGTGATTTGAAAATTGCTGATTCGATTGGTAGATCAGGAAAGGATCGCTCTCAACCTGCTTGCTGGGTTCCTCCACCGGAGGGGTTTCTAAAGTTAAATGTTGATGGAGCGATGGTTTCGGGTTGGGAAAAAGGAGGTATTGGTGGTCTGTTTCGAGATAGCAGAGGTCTATTACTTCAGTGGTTTTCTGAAGCAGTAGGGGGTGGTCCTCCTATCTTGGCAGAGCTGTTGGCTATCAAAAGAGGGATTTGTCTTATGGAGGAGTTGGATTTTGTCGCAAATCAGAGAGTTATCTTGGAATCAAACTCATCTAACGCTCTGAAGTGGATCCAGAATCCGGGTTTAAGCCCTCCTTTGCATCTATCCTAGGTGAAGGATATAGTTTCGCTTTTGATTGGAAAGGATATTATTTTTAGGCATATTTCAAGGGCGGCAAACTGGGAAGCTGATAAACTTGCTAAAGATGGGATAGGGTGATTTTGGTTATTGTTGTGTTGTTTAACAGGAATTGTACCTCCCTGTTTGTTGGATGTTTTGTGTTAAGTTTTATGTTCTTCTGTTGGAAGTGTAGGAGTTTGTTCAATCTTGTAATCTGGTTCTTGTGAATAAAAGTTTTCTTGGCTCTCCTTTCCTCCTTCGTTGTTCCTTCATGTTACTCTCATAACATGGAGGGATTGAAGGAGGATTTTAATGAGGCCTCTTTCTATCAAAAAAAATTAAAGTGCCATTTTCAAAAAAAATTAAAGTGCCATTTTCAGCATACAAGAATATCACACAATCTATCCAAAAATGTTAAAGAAGGATGTATTACATTTAATTAGTTAATTTAAATCTCGCATACCTTTGATTTATATGGAAATTCTTGTGGATAATTCTCTTCTTGAAAGATTTCAAGAAACCGTGGCTTTACTTCCAGTTTTTTGTCAACTGATGAAACAACTCTAACTACAAGTGCCTCAGCACCAGGAACCTGTGAAAAATCAATGAAGAAAGATATAAGTTCATTTCCTGGAGAACCAAAAGTCTATGAGAAGTCACTGGAAGGAACTTTGAAAGACCAGAAATTAAATCAACAATAATAACAAGAACAAATTCCATATATACAAGGTAGTTAATGGGCCCATTTTGAAGGAATCAGAAAGTTAATTTTGAGGCACTCTTTTCCTCCTTCCGCTGATTAAGGAACACCGATTGGTGTTCTGTTAATCATGAAGGGGGTTTTTAACGAGGCCTCCACTTCCTATAAAAAAAAGAAATCAGTAAGTTCAAGTTCTGCCCTCTAGATGATAAGCTTTGTGGCTATCTGACCTATAACTGGCTAAAGATCGCAAAAGTTGGAGAGATCCTACCACTCCATTTTTCAAAATTCTCCAAATCATGCAAAAAAACCAAACTCCATGCCATAATATCAATCCCCAGCAAAAAATATGATTCGACTATTATCACTTCTACAGCTCTTGTTTCTTCAGCATATAATTACAAACAAACAGCTTATTTGGTCATGGTCATCTTTCTTCTTATGTATTTTAGTTTTTTTTTTCTTGTATGTATCTGAATTTCAGCAATACTGAACACCTTTCAACCACATGGAAGTAACAAAAGGATCCACATATACAACACAGAATCAGCAGTAATCATGAGAGTATTAATCACCTCATCATAACTTTTTCCTTGAACCTTTGCCCTCTCTTGTCTTTCATGTTTCAGTCTCTTAAATAATCGCTGCTCTATGTGGTCACTGAGGATTGTTCTTGGCAAATCTTTGGCCCCCAGAACAGCACTCTGAGGTAAGGGCTTCCGCTCTCCTCTTTCAACCTCAGCAATATAGCAATTGGGACATGTATATTCAGCTTGCCCACCCTCATTCCTTCTACCATTAAATAAAGCACAAATTTGATGCTGCCAAGCCTCACACTTGTCACATTGAACCCACTGCACAATTTTATTGAAGACAAACAAAAATATAATAGCGATTGTTAGGGATGACCATGAAACATGATAAAAAACAGAAAGTATGTATTGTTACTATGTACATACCCATTCTTCGGTCTCTTCATCATTTTTCTTCTTCTCAAGCCTTGCCTTAGGAATGGGAGCTCCATCAACAACAATGCTATCCCCACGAGCGTCATTATGGCATGGAATGCAAAAGTAATGTCGTGTATCACCAGCACCCACTGTGTAGTGCTGTGCATTTCGCTTAATGCGACCACCACAATGGCTGCAATAAATAGGTGGTGGTTCAAAATTGAGTCTCTCAACTGCACATAACTGACAGGAGTTCTCGCTCATTGAGCGCTCCATTGCTTGATGCTTTTCAGCCTTCGCCTTACTCTGTAAGAGAAATAAAAGAAAAATGATTATCATCAATATACCATTTCAATCACTAGGTCCATATTTGGTCTATCAATTAGTAGGCTAGAATATGTGTTCACCTCCAGCAGCTTACCCATGATTTAAATAATACTATGAACAGTGTCTGAAACAAATAACATAACAATAAAGTATACCTGGCCAACCCATTGTCTGAGGCCTGTAATATGCTCCCGAACTTGCTCGGGAGTGAAAAGTTCAGTCAATGACACCCCCTTTATATTTGGTTTCCCAGACTTGGTTCCAGCTCCACCTTCACAAGACTGTGTAGCATTTTCTAGTTTAACTGGGTCAGGTTCCTTCTCAATCTTAGCATTTTCTTGCTTATGAAGGCCACCAATTTCATCACATTTAATAGGCTCACCGTTAGTCTTCTGCTTGCAAATGTCTTCTAAAACATCCTTCATCTCAGTTATAACAGGATAACCCTTGGCAGAAATCTTGGGGACTTCCGTCTTCATTTCCATAGGCTCAGATTTAACTGGCATACGCCTATCAACATGTCTATGATCTTGGTGGTGGATATCCTGAGATATGTGATTTTCAGAAACTACAGAACTTGATATAAGAGGACCTTCACTTTTAGCAATAACAGATTGTGAAGATTGATCTTTCCTCATGCGTTTTAGTGAAGGTTGCATGTCTACAGAAGTATCAAATGCTGCAGATGTAGTAATAGTTCTACTTGAAAAGTCTCCACCATTATGTGTTTTAGTAGACATACCATCAGGAGAAGGCAAAACAGAAGTAGAGTTTAGAGAGGTACGTGCCTTCTGAGCCTGTACATAACTGTTAACAGGAACACAAACAGGGCATGTTTGATATCTACAAGCCTTGTGATGCCGAATCAGTATCTTGGAGTGGTGACAACGAGGATATGTACATTGAGATGATTCGCACAGATCCATATGAGACAACAACTTTCGTACAGTAAAGCAATAGCCATCACACTTACCTTCAGAGGCTTTACATCTCCGAGCATGGCGAAGTAACAAAAGCCACCTCACTTGATTTCGGAATTGCCTATCATGGCTCCCATTTCCAAACTTAGAGATAGCACCCTTTGAATTTGAAAGATCGGATGAGCTTTTAGGAACAACCAACGGACTGATAGTAGATGCATCCACAGATAAATTGTTACATTGAGCTTCATCCTGCCCCAATATTCTCTGCTGGAAATCTTCTTGTACATGTTGCTCAAATGATATGTTCACTGGCATTTGAGCCTTGTCTTGTGACTGAGGTTGCCATTTGCTCTGCACAGCTGATTCCGACAGTGCACCAGCTGAAAGTTTATAATCATTTTGAGATTCTGGAACCAATTGCTGTTGGTGCAACATCTGTTGCATTTGTTGAGAATTTTGTGGTAGCCATGAATGTGTATCCTGCTGACTAGAGATCTCTTCAGCATGGTTCCGCTGGAATTGACTCTGCAATTCGGGAAGCTGATATTGTTCAGAAGTCTGTTGATGTAGAACCTCATCATGGCATTCCACTCCAGGTTCATGCTTCACTTGACTACCTATATCAGATGCCACCTGGGACTGATTATAACCACTTTTACTCGGCGAATTTTGATGCTGCAGATTTTGCTGAGGGTGGGGTTGCTGTTGCTGAAACTGATGTTGTCGGAGCTGAAGGGGCTGCTGCTGAAACTGTTGCAGATGATTAGCTTGAAGGACATTGTCTCCTGAAGAAAGTGGAGGTTGGAAATTCATCTTTTCAAGCTGATCCATGGACTGGGGCTTCATATGAGCAGCACCATGTAAATTCGACGGATTACTTATCAGAGAAGAATTTGTTCTGGACATAGACTGCAAATTAACAGGATCAGAGTTCTGAGAGTTTGTCATAGATCCGACAGATGTTGCAGAACCATACAAGTTTCCAGACCCAAAAGAATCAGCATTGTTCATTCCATATCCATCACCTAACACACACACCCCAAAAATAAATATTTGCTTTATTTGAGAAACTTGTATGTTTCAATAATAAAATAAATTGCATATTCAGATACGTCGTTACTAAATCAAAAGGTAGAGAGACAGAAAAAATTGTTCATTAGGTCACCTTGCATCAGGGGTCTCTGATGTTGATCGAATTGTTGTAGCAAAGGTTTGGGTAAATTAACAAAACGAGGGGTAGTCTGAAATCCCCCAGAAGTTCCTGATTCATTACCAATTAGCACATTGTTGCCCATCATCCCCAATGAACCATTTAGGGACCCATTTGAAAACCCAAAAGTTTTCTGCTGCAAGCCAGACCTGATGCCACTACCCATTTGACTACCAAGGGTGTGCAAAATACGACTATTTTGACCACCATGTTGCTTTTGCTGCTGTGGCCGAGATGCCATCGATGATTCGACAGTTGAAAGCCCACCAACATTATTGGACTGATTATTAATGCTATTGTTATTGTTATTACTATTAAACCCAGGTGTGGGGATCATTTGGCTTGCCATTCTTTGCACACCAGCTGATGACATTCCACCAGAAGAGATAAGAAAATTTGCAGACTGCTGATGCCCATTAGATAAATTTCCTACAAAATTACCAATATGTTAGCCTTGGCAGAAAATGCAATTAAAATATCATTGTAAAAGAAAGTAAGACATAAATTTACCTTCAGATCTCCCAAAGGAACCACTATTCATGCTAGCAGTAGGCAACAGACTTCCTGTATTGGCGTTTGTAGGAGCTATGCTTGCATTGGCAGCACTCATAGATGTATCAATAGAAGGTGTAGCCATGATGCTAGGATTGCTACTGTGTGACATACCGGGGGTCGGTATCATTGTACCAACTGGTGCTGATGCCGAATTAACAAGTTGTGCATGTCTTTGGTTGTGCGCATTTCTAGTACCCCTTATTAGAATCTGTAATCGTTGCTCTAAAGTACCCAAATTTGTATAGTCCTCCTAGAAAACAAACTTCAAGTGTTAAAACACAAGGGTGGGGGTTAAGAGAGTTGAAGCGCAGAAATAAATGTGATCAAACGAATGCAAAGTAATGTGCTTCTACAGTGTAGAAGAAACCAAGAAAAATGCATAAATATGGATTATTATCAGGTAGACCATGAATAGAAAGTAAAAGTTCCACAACCAGAGCTAGAAGCCTAGAACATTGACAAGTGACCCAGGCATTTACATTTTATATTTTTAAATATACCTCAGGTGACACTTGTCATCGTTCTAACCCTACTTGTGAAAGGGTTTTTTTCCCATTAGCAGTGTACCAAATAATAGTCCTATACACACACAAGCCCGCAAGTGGAATGGACAACAACATCAGTCAAGAAATAGATTTACTCAAAACATAGTAATAAAAAATTGTTAACCTTTGTACGAGCAAACTTAAATAAAGCTTCCTCCAACCGTCTTGCAAAATCCTGAAACTTGATCATTGATGCGTCCGAAATGGGATGTTGTTGGCGTGATTTTAAAAACTTAATGCTGTCAGAAAAGAGATTATGAAAAAGCATTAGTTAACCAAAAATAGCACCACAGGCGAATGTAGTAACAAAAACTTCTAAGATGGAAATGCCTATCTTGATATATAGATTGATCAGACATAGAAGCCAAGCAGCAATAACGATTATATTAAATCAACCACAAGAAAATAATATTCCATTTCATATGATTTAAATATTCATATGCATCAATGCGATGGGATCATAACATACATGTTCTCCCATGGAACTGATGTCTTAAGAAGAATGAACAAACAATTTCACATCAGTTTTTCTCTGTACACATTCTTACATGCCTGCGTGTGTGTGTGTGTGTGTGTGTGTACACAGAGAGAGAGAGATCTCTACAAGTTTAAATTGAACTACAAGGATTCCCTGATGAACTGGACAATGCCCCCTTAAATTTGCTTAAACAACTATGAATGATGCATACAGCAATGTATATCCCAAAAAGAATCAACATCATATGCAAGCTCATAAAATCCTACACAATCAAATAGACAAATACTTCAAGAAAAGTCATTTTCAGTCTTTCTTCACACAAGAAGCCTCCCTATGAGTTGAAGTTGAATACAACATCTAACCCCTATAGTGTTTATGCAGCTACGTTATTTTGTATGCCAACTTTTCTGCATATTTGGTAGTATAAAAACAAATACAAACAATATCTCAACCGAAAGGTGTAATTTACACAAGTATAGAACTAACCAAAAAAATGCCACCATCTATAACAAAAGAATATTTACTAACATGCAACCTAGGATCCAAACAGAAAATGCACACCACAAACATGCACATGATCACAGAAAAAGAATATTATGAAACACATATAAATACTGGCATTAAACGGCACTCTCAGACAACATTAACTCAAAGCCTAAGGTATATTTTATTTCAAATTTTTACTTAATTTAAAATGAATCAGTTAGCAGATACAAGCATTTAATATAACATAGAAAACAAAACTATTGTTATCCAAAATCTTACATTTCTCCACGCATAAAATCACGAGTTCTCATGAGGTCCGGATCCATGTTCATTATATTATTGGGAGGACCTCCAGTTCCAAGAACACCAACGGCACTCATACCTCCAGCAACCCCTAAATTCTGCATCTGGGAAGGCTGAAGCAGGTTCCCATTTTGCTGGGTTCCCCCTTGATTAGGTACCTGTTCTGACATATGCGCCTGCATATTCATTTCTATCTAAATTCCTTCTTCGTTTAGGCCTTGTCTTAGTAACTAATACTAGAAAAAAAACGCATAACTTATTCCACAATCTCACTGTAAAATCGCACCAGCGATCACCGCTCATGCTTCCTTCTTTTCCCCCCTCTAATTGTCATTCCACACACGTTTTACAGCATATCTGTATTTTATGTACCCTGCATATATGTATAAAGGAAAATAAAATAAGTTAATCCAAATTTCAATGATTCAATCTCAATTTTAAAAAATCACATTGTCTGACAACACTGAAACTGAAATACGCTGATAATGGAAATTAGGGAAACTTCGGTCAATGAAGTAGGAAAATCCCAATTTAGGAATTCCTAGGTCAAAGATGATACTGATTAGTGAATGAAGCAGAACGCAATTTAATAAATGAAAAATAACATTAATTTCCTAAAGCAATCAAGGAGAAAATACAAACCCTAAAAAACAAACCGGAAGGGGAAGATGCAAAGTGAAAGCAGAAGCAAGAACAGATGCGAACGGAGCTTCGATAATTCGATGGCAAAACCCAGAATCGCGAGGACGAGGACGACGATCGGAAAATAAAAGGGAAGAAAACACCGCCTGAATCGCACGTGCTAATAGAAATTTACCCCCAGCGTTCAATACCGCGAGAGAGAGAGAGAGAGAAAGATGAGAAAAACAATAAACAAACAAAAAAGATCGAAAAGCGGAAGTACGGAGCGAGTGGAATTAATTTTTCTGGGATTAGGTTTAGCTCTGAAATCTTTTATATAAAAAGAAAAAAAATAATAATTGGAGAATTAATTATCTTCTTTTCCTTTTTCACGCTGCGTAAAATAGAAATTCTAAGAAGATGTGTATTTATAATTTATTTGACGATGACGTCTATGAATATTTTTTAAAATTAAAATTTCTTCTCCTTATGTTTCAAAAAATTATATTAAAATTTTAAATAACAATTAATTGTTTTTTATTAAATATAATTAGTATCTGTAGATAAAATAATTTGAATTTTAAATAAATTAATTTATTTAAAATTAAATCAAATATATGATGTGAAAATAATCTAAATAATTCAATACGATTTAAAAATAGTATAGATGTATTATAAATATATGATTATATTAAAATAACGTAAGATTAATTTTAAACTTATAAAAATTTAAATAAATATAATGTTTTAAATATAATTATAAATTAAATATATAACATGATTATAATACAACATAAATATATAAAAATTAATAAAAAAAATAAAAGAATAGTCTGAATTATTTAACAAATTATTCCTAAATATTAGTCCAAAAACATTGATTATTTATTTAATGCATTGGGCTCTTTTGCGTATTTTACTACGCACATAAATTATTTTTAATTCGGTTAAATTATTAAATTTATGATATAATATTAAAACATTAAATATTAGAGTTACTTTAGGATAAGCTTCACAATTTATTACTATTATTATTATTATTATTATTATAACTTTTTTTCGATTTTATTAACCACATTCACAAAACCTCTTTCACTAACACTATTCAATTAGGTCACTTGTTTTTTGTAACTCTCTTGAAGAGGTTATACATAAGGATGTGAGCGTTTCATTTGAAATATTTTGATCTTGACAAGTACAAAATTAAAGTTAAATTCTGATTATATTACACACGTAAAAGCAAAAAATCCACTACGCTTATGGTCTAGAGTTCATCATCCTACACAACTTTTAGCTCTTTAAGCCATGCTATGCTGTATGCAGGGGGCATGGATCCGGTTTTCCGTCCGCGATTGCCTTCTCGGAGATTGAATAGAACCATCCATTCCTCCACTTGAACTGTGTGAAAATGAATATAATGAACTTAGAACCAAACAAATTATGATCTTCATGAAGTATTTTGAACTGCAATTCTTTTTACCTCTTTAACTGCTGTTGGGAAGTGGGCCACGGCTCCAGAGTAAGCACATAACCTATCCTCCATAGCTTCTTCAAATGTTATACTTTTCTCCGCAGCAGCAGCAGATGCAAGTTCTGCGATGAGGCTTGAGACTTGAAAAGTTCGATTTCAGTTCATATGTTCGACTTATACACTCATACACAATGATAGTTTATTTAACATAACTAATAATCCAAACTATATACTATTGACAAGAAAGCAGCACCTCGGAGCGGTATTCCTTCTCTACAATGCCCACAGTTGCCCCAGGATGACGAGCTCCAACAAGCATGAATGAGCAAATCCATATGAGTTTCTCCAACATCTGCCTCCGAAATGCTTCTTTGTCTAGAACCTGGCCAGAACAATATTTTTCTCAATAAACCTACAAATTTATACCACTTCAATCGACTAATTACTAGAACCTTCATAGTAAAAATGCATGTTTTACCTTGCAAGAGAGGCCTCCGGCATGCAATCTGGTAGCTATAGCAGATGCCCATTTCCCATAAGCTGCAGTTAAACCTTCAGGATTTGTGTCAGTCTTAACATCAACAGGAGGTTCTCCAAGCTTTGATACTGCAAAATATGCCAGCACCTGATCTCCATCTTTAAGACCTTTGCTTTGAATCCATGGCTCCAGCATGCCATTCTGAAAAAAAAAAAACAAATCTGCTACATCATCAACACCCAATGGATGATCAAATCATTTTGAATTGACAAAGTTGCAAATATATAAATAGACTGAAACACATGCATTAATACATAAACTACAGAGGAAATAATAAAAAGAAAGTTTCCCCAAAACAAAAACACATAAAGCTCCAAACTTCATTGGATCATTCAACTGTTTCACAAGGGATTTCTTAATAGTCATCCATAGACAATTAAAACAAAATCTAATAAAAGATCAGCCCTTTTTTTGTCTAATTAAACAAATGAGCAAAGAGAGGATATGAATCAGGCAGAGGAACCGTTCCAACGAGACTTAGGAGTGGCCTCAAGAACAGCTTCAAGATCATCGTTCCTGGAACAAACCAAGATGGGGCCTTCAAAATAAAGAGGCACAGGTCCACCTCTCTTCACCGGCATATCATGTCCCTTTCCAATATCTTGCAATGCATTTCCCACTCTCCCACCGCCGACAATAACTGCCGGCACCACTTTTGCAGCAGTAGCCGTGGGAGCAGCAGCAGCCTTAACAATGGAGCTCGACTTGTTTGATCTAAAAAAGCGTGTAGATGCTAAAAGAGAGTTTTCGAGAAAGGGGTTTGGCCATGGTTTTCATATTCGGACCGGTTATCGAACCGATCATATTATTGGTTTACTGGTTCAATCGATTGAATTGGATCGACCGGTCGAAAGAATTGGACGACATTATAATTATTTAAAAAATTAAATAAAAATACCAAAAATATTTAATAAAAAATAATTTTTTATATAATAAGTCATAACATATATAAGTTAAAAACTATAAAATCAAGTGAAACAAAATGATTTAAATTAACTACAATATAATATTTAAGGTGAAACATATTAAATAATAAATATAATTATATAACTATAATTAAAAAATAAATTTGAGGCTAAAAATTATAACAAAATGATATTGTTTGGTTTAATTTTTTTTTAAATAATCTCACATGGCTAAGAAACATAAAAGAGCATCCCAAAAGTCTAAAGAGTAAAAATATGAGAACAAAACAATCTCACATGACTAAGAAACATAGAAGAGCATCCTAACTAATTTCTATAAATAATAGAGGTAATTTGACATTCAAAATCATAGAGCCTTTTGGTGAGCATTAAGTGAACTATTCTTTTACTTCAATCAAGCTCGAATTTTTAGCTTCAATCGAACTTCTAATTTTTTTTTAGTTCAAGCCTTTTCGAGTTCAAGTTTCAATATTATATTTCGAGTTCGAGTTGAACTTGATAATTTTAGCTCGTGAGTTTGAGTCGAGTTGAGCTTACTTTTAAAGTTTTCAAGTTCGAGTCGAGCTCAGTAATACTCGAGTTCGACTTGGCTCGTTTAATAAACGACGTCGTTTGGTTTAATTTAAAAAAAATAAAAAAAATTGGCTGTTTTTTCCGATTTTCAGCTGGTCCGGTTCGAACGGTTCAGTTGTTTCTGTCGATTCACTAGTAACGATTCAACCGATGTAAATTGAACCGAACTAAACAACGATTATTGATTAAACCATCTGATTTTCAAAACACTGGATTTGGCTGAATGTGTCCAAACGAGAGGAGCTATAGACTAGAGAGTGTGGCCATGACGATTGACGTCGGGATAGTTAGGTGGAGGCATGGTTGCTAGTTCGTGTATTTTTAAGCGACAAGAAAGGAATGTGACAACAGCCACTCGATTCTTGGGGTGACCTGATCAGTTTATGAAATCTATCTATCCAGATGTGAAATCACAGATGAAGTATGGAAATTGGGAGGTAAGAAATAGTCCCAAGTGCTAGTTGTTTGTGGCCAGACAAAAAGCCTCCCAACATGTTGGAGCTGCACCTGTTGGGTTGTCTATCTGGCCCAGAAAACTAAGAAATTATGAACTCAGGCCAGCCCAATTTTGATCTTAATTCAAATTGCATTTTGTTTAATTATTTATAGACTTGTAACCAAACTGAACGCACACGTACGGATGTATGTTCATGTTCGTTCATTTAATAAATAAAAAAACATAAATGAACATGAACATAAACGAACAAATTTTTTTTTGTTCATGTTCGTTCATTAAGGAATATAGCTTTTTCATGTTCGTTTATTTAAATGATAAACGAACATAAACGAACGTAAACGAACACAAACGAAATAATAAATAAATATAAACGAACACAATAAGCGAACATAAACGAACAACACAAACACAAAAAACAAACTTATTCAAAACACAACAAATGAATGTAAAAAAAAGTAAACAACAAGAATAACAACATAAAATTCATTAATATAACATGTAACTTTAGAGTTAATTTGTTACAATACGACAAAAACATACATAAATCATAAATAAATTATATGAACATAATAAAGTCTTAAAGTTAATTTGTTGAACAAAAAAATCTTCTTGAAATCCAAACAACTTCAATAATCTTCGTAACATATTCAACTTGCCCTCTGTTCGAACATAAATAAACGAACATAAATGAACGAACATATAATCGAATGTTCACAAACGTAAATGAACGAATGAGCCCTTTGTTCGTGTTCGTTCATTTAATTAATCGAATGCAAAATCTTGTTCATGTTCGTTCATTTAATAAATAAACGAACATAAACGAACTTCCTACCATACGGTTTATAAACAGTTCGCTAAACGTTTAGTTCATTTACAAGCCTAATTATTTAGAATATATATATATATATATATATTTGGTAAAACACAATACAAAATTATTTAGGCACTATTGTTGTTGGTATCAATCTGCAGCAGTGTTAACACCTCTGCAGGGCCGTAGGGCTGTAAATGAGTCGAGACAGATCGCGAGCTACTCGAGATCGACTCGATCAAGGCTCGATGAATACTCGGATCGTATGGACTCGACTCGAGCTCGACTCGAGTTCTTAACGAGCCGAAATGAGCTACTCGATATTCGACTCGAAAAGCTCGTGAGCAGCTCGAAAAAATGTTATATTATAATTTTAGATTTTTTAAAATTACATTATTAAAAATATATTAAAAATACACTATTGATAATTATAAAATTTTAAAAATATATTAAAAATTTTATAATACAACTACCCCAAATTTTAATTTTTTTAATTAACCAGCCCAAGTCCAATTGTTACATTGTATATTACTAAAAGAAAAATAAAAGCCCATTTAATTAAGCACATGTTAGATTACACGTGTTTGGTTGATTTTTTTTCTTTCTTTTTTAACTTTTTACTGCACAAGTACTTGACAACGTAGAAAACTAAAATAAAAAATAAGAAAATACAACCAAACAATAAAAAAATTAAAAATGGTTAAAAATTATTTTTGAATAAATATTCTTATATTTATTTTAAATTAATAAAAAATTATTTATCTAATGACAAATATTTAATATATTTCTAATGATAATATTTTTAATAACTAATTTTTTAAAATTGTTATTATATTTTGAGGTTTCAGGTTCAAATATCATAAATATCAAGAGTTTGAGCATTTAATATTAAGATACTATATTGTACTTATCTCATAAATCGGTACCAAGTCGATTAATTAATGCATTTGCAATGAACTCTAGACCCTAAACTATAAACTATGAATCTTAAACCCTAAATCCAATTATATGATAGAGACTAAGTTATGCCCATGAAGGTAACATACAAATTATGCAAAATGATGTTATGTTACTCCTAAATAAATCATTCGCATACTTATACATAAACATATCAACATGAAAAATAAATATAACACAACTAATTAAAGAAAACAATCCTAAATAGGGACTAAATTAAGAGAAACCTAAATGTGAGGACTAATTTAAGCTAAATATACTAACTTTAGAATGATGATTAAATTCATGTAAATGTAAAATTAAACTTACAAAATTGGAATTAAACCAATGACTTAAATACAAAATGCACATAAACTATAGGGTCTTATATGTAATTGATCCTATTCGATTTAAGCTAAAATAATATGGAAAATAACATAAATGACACCTGAACATTTAAAACAAATAAGAAAATTTAAACAAATGTGATTGAAATACAAAAATTAAAATATAACATACCAAACTATAAATTTATTAAACATGCATATACATATTAAACTAATAACTAAATTTAAATAAACGTAAAATTCAACATACAAATCAAGAATTAAATTAGGGATTTACAAAAGGGTACTCATGTTTGGGGTACTATAACTTAATTTACTAAAAAACTAATATGAAACCTAAATTTAACTAAACCTAAACTAAACTCGCACACACAAAATACCAAACACAGCCGCACAACCCCTTTATTCTCCAACAGCCTCTCTCGGCAGCTCTCTCAATCCCATCTCTCCCTCTCACACACACATGGCGCCACTCTCAACATGATGGTCCTCTTCTTCTTCGGCAAAGACCCTAATACAATAGGGTAAACCATATCGAAAACTTCTACCCTTTAGGTTTCGAACTACCCAAATAAACCACTTTATTTCCCTACTATCCTAATCTCTCTCGGCGACCGAGAAAGCTCGAAAGCTTTCTACATCGGCCACCACACGCAGGTGGCCAAATCCAACTCCGACCACCACGAGACTCAACTGGTAAGTCTTTAATCCTAACCCATACACTACCAAGCACTTGGTTCTATTCTAACCCATTCTTTTTATTTACCCCGATCTAAAGTTATGGAACACGACACCACCAGCCGAATGTTACTAAGGCTCAGATAATATTAACCCCTATTCTCGGCTTCCTTACACTGGCCAACAATCCCAGACGAACGATCTTTACTCCTAACAACAAGGCTCGTCTTCCCAACCCCGATGAAGACCCAAAATAGGGCTACGTAAAATGAAATTAATTTCTCTTCTATTTCTATAGTTCGAATCAAAAGGAAAAAAATGATAAGATGGTTGCTAGGAAATAGAATAAAACCTTAAAAAAATACTTGTAATAATATTGCTTGATTTGAACACAGAGGAAATAAGCTCTTTATACATTGATTTCTTCTTTTATCTCTCGTAGTTGTTTTTGTAAAAAAAAATGGATAATGGCAGAGGCTCTTTATACGTGATGGCAGAGTCATGCATGCATGTTTAACCTCTGTGTTGTGGTGCTTGTTGCTGTAAACAACCGACTTATTATTGAAAACCTGATGAAGGTTTGTTTTCAAATTTTAGCTCTCTTGCAGGTAGGCTATGAATTTATGATTCTCGGATTAAAGGCTTGTTATCGTGCTGTTGATAAATGCTGCAGTATGGATGGTTGATCAGATCTGGATTTTGGTTTAGTTCGAGATCATTGAGAGATTGGCCTCTTTTTATGTGCTGGTTATGCTTCTAATCTTAATTTTAGATATTCCTAAGAATACATGAGGGCGAGGCTTGTCTTTTAGGATTACTGTTTCCATTTTGGTTATTTGGTCTCGAGCATCATTTAACATGTTATCTCTGCTTGTCGATTCAAATTGTAGTCTTACTCTCCCAATATTCCCACTTGCGGCCTTTGTAGTTGAAAAGTTGTTGCAGAAGAATCATATATCGAAACGTGTAAGTGGATCAATTGTAGGATGAACCTATTGCTCCTCTTATTTCATTACTTAAAACTTCAAACGGAAAAACTGACAATTAAGAACTTCCTTTGCTTTCTAATGATTGGTTCAAACATTGTTGAAGTGCACTTGTTCTTCCTAGAGAAGAAGACAAATTGATGTTTTATTGATGTTGCACAAAGGTTGACTATTAATTTATATATTGCATGCTGGTATTTGGCTTAATGTACTAATTAGCACAATTGTTGTTCTATATCCGATTGAAAATGAGGGAGATATAAATTGAATTTCCCAAAATGTTTCCATCACATTTAGTTAGGGAGAACATTAGTAAGGTCAAAGACATCATGTATCAACTTGTATAAATTTGGATATGTTGTCATATTTGTCATCTTTTTATAAATTTAGATGTGTTGTCATATTTTGTAAACTTTCAATACATTTGAAGTTTTAGGGTAAGCTTCTTGCTTTTGGTTTCTGTTCTATGGTTGTTGAGGATTTTCGCTCCAAATGGGTTTTTTTCCTACTATTGATGGTTGATAGCTTTTCGAGTTCTCTCGTTTTTGTTTTCTGTTTTTGCCTTTTTTTCATTGATGGCTAATGGTTGATGGGTACCTCCTGTTGTTGATTCCTCTCTGGGTTTTTTTATGCCTAACCTCTCCCCCCTTTTCTGATGATGATCGAGACTATATCCTTGATATTTTCTCTTGTCTTCTTGTTGTGCTTGGTGCTCTGTCCCTTGTTTTGTGTGTCTACATGGCATGGATTAGAGGATGGCCAGCATGGGCGACGACAACATTGGTTTCAGTGGATGGCCGACCAGCATGGGTCTTCCTCGGTGAGTTCACGTGGGTGACGCACTGTCTCTGGGTGACGCACTGTCTCGGGCTTCCTCCCGGTGGATTTGTACCATATTTTAATATAATAAACATGAGTAATAATAATACTAATAATTATTATAAAAAAAACTTCAAAGCTTATATTAATTATCCTAAATTTCTTGTAATTGTATTTTTATTTTTTAGATTTTTTATAGTTCATACATTCATATTATAATGTATTGGTGATGGTTGATTAAAGGGAAAATTATTTATATATTTTAAATGTAATATAAGATTTTTGTAGGTTCAAATTCGAGTTCGAGTTCGAGCTTGAATCGAGCTCGAGTCTCGAACTTCAATCAAGCTCCTGAATTTTTTTAGTTCGAGCCTTTTCGAGTTCGAGTCGAGTTTCAATAATATATTTCGAGTTCAAGCTGAGCTTCATAATTTTTAGCTTGCGAGTTTTCGAGTCAAGTCTAGCTTACATTTAAAGTTTTCAAATTCGAGTCGAGTTCAACAATACTCGGCTCGTTTACACCCTTGCGGGAGTATCAAAAGTGAGAGCATCCGAAACACCTATAATGGCTAGGCTAGGCTACCTTAGCCATACAATCGGTAATTTTATTATCATCACGAGCCATTTATTGAAATTTCACGATCTAATTAAACTGCATTAACTCAAGGACATGGCATGTCATTTATATTTATATTTGTGAAAATATTGTATATAAATAATTTTAATAATATAAAATGTATTAATATATTAAAATTAAATAAATATAATTTTTTAAATTTAAAATTTTAAACAAATAAATACACCATTCTCACTGATATATTTGTGCTCTTAAATCAAACGCCCCTCGAAGAAAAAAAAATAGACCAACATTGGAATGATTTATTAATGGCATCCAAACACATCCTTACATTTATTATATTCCAAAGTTTCAAACTCTATTCCCGCTTCTCCTCCATCTAAATAACAACAGTCAAAACTCATATATTACTAGTAATTGAGAACCATTATTGTCCTTCTCAATTTCCATCATATCTCCCTGCACACGAGGACAAGAAGTTTTGAACAGTTACAGTTTACCGTTGATCCTTACCAAACACAGCACATTCAAAACCCACACAATTCCCTATACTTTTTTTTTTCAAATTCAAAACCCTCTTTCAGTTCAAGTTGAAACCTTCATTTCTTTAAGAAAGGACTGGCTTTCAAGCAATCTGACCAAAACCCAGAGTTCTAAATCCGTCCTCCTTTCTTAAAAAAGAAATGAGTGAGTTCAAGGATCCTTTAGTTCAACGCCAGGCATCATACAATTCTCTGTATGTTAATCCTCTCAGTGATCTCAAACACAACCGCTGCTGCAGTGAAGGGAACCATGCATCATTTTCAGACAACACAAGGAAAGTATTGTCTTTGGTGTTGACAAAGAAAATGCAGCTCCTTCAACACAAAATGGGTCTTCTTCTCCGGTTGCAAAACAGACTACCCATTTGAAATCTTTGTCCACTATCGGTACTTTTGATACTTCCAAACACGTTCCAAGGTACAAATCTTTGTCTACAGGGAAGGTCCTGAAAGAGTCATCCCTTCAGTTCTGTATGCAAATGAATGAGCCTGACAAGGCTTTTGGGTGCAAGTTATGGGATCCCATTGATTCAGAGCATTCTGCTTCTTTGAACATTTGGGATTATTCGGATTCCGAGGCCGCCCCAGCTTCTTCCTGGTCCACATTGCCAAATAGGTCAGTCTCTGAAACATTTTTCTTATAACTTGCAAATTGCAATATAAAAGATGATTAAAAAAGAGAAGCTTGTAAAAACTGGGAGTTTGGTTTTTTATTTGACTTGGTGGCTTCTGTTTTAGGGCTTTGTTGTGCAGGCCGTTGCCTCTGGACATAGGTAGATGTACTTGTGTTATTGTGAAAGAACCCTCTCCTGATGGGTTCCATGGTGGCACTTTGTATTCACTTTATACCAGTGTAAGATCTCTGACTTGTTAAGAATACTACTAACAGCATTTCTCATCAATAATCAGACTTACTTTGGTTCTTGATCATCTGGATCAACACCTTTAGAATCCTTTTATTTTTTATGTGCATGTGTTCTGTAAACTGTGTTTAGGAGTATCATTCTAAGAAACTCTGGCAGACCACATTCAACAGTCAGTGGTCTGCTACAAATAATTGCAGGGTACTACTGATCCAGGGGGGATCCTAAAAAAAAATTAAGTGGAAATATTGCCTAACAAAGAAATGAATCTGAAAAAAAAGTCAAGTCACATGATAGCTATGATAGTATCTTCTCCTGTTTCTGGCCTTTCTTCCAATAATGATCAGTAGTAATTGTTTACTTTGAGATGGTGTAAAAACCATTTACCATATATGCTTTCTTAAATTTTGATCTATACGGCATTTCAACACCACAGGAAGGTAAGGGACGACAGGATCGGAAACTAGCGGTCGCATATCACAAACGACGCAAGGGGAAATCAATATTTGCCATAGCTCAGACTACCAAAGGAATACTGTCTAATACTGATGATAGTTGTGTTGGACTCATGACAGCTAACCTCTTCGGATCGAAATACCACATATGGAATCAGGTTTGGTTCCTAAAAGGTTAATCTGCCTAGAAAATTGCAACTAGATAGGAGAAACAATTCTTACTTGCAATTGGCTAATAAATAATTTGCTTCATTGCAGGGTGGCCGCACCAAGCCGTCAAACAAACAGTCTAATCCTCTCTTGGGTGTTGTAAGATTCATGCCAACCATAGCCACATGGACCGGCAGTTACCGAAGAATGAAGGCCTATATACCTAAGCACCAGTCAATGCAGCTAAAGAATGTGTCTCAGGTAGCTCAAAAGCCTTAATTGGGAGTTTCCCTTGTATATTTTTTTGGATTCTCTATGGATAACCTCCTTGCATTTATGTAGATGCAGCACATTAATGGACTACCTAAGGACTGGGAAGGAAAAATGGACAAAATCCACAAGTTGTTCACAAGGATTCCTCGTTACAACAATGTAAGAACGTGTAAATCTGTATTTCTCCTCATCGAACCAGCTCGAGATTTCGGACTACGGTTCCTCCCTAACCCTTTTAATTGCTTCGTGTTGAGTCAGATGCTGAACCAATACGAGTTAGACTTCAGAGAGAGGGGAAGAGCTGCTGGGCTTAGAATCCAAAGCTCAGTGAAGAATTTTCAGCTGACATTGGAGGTATCATAATGTACTTAAATACTATATTAGTCATGCATATACATTCCTTTAGATGTCACACAAGTATTCCGGTATGGAATGATTTTATCCGAGCTTATTCTGGAATTGGTTATGTAGGAGAACGGAAGGCAAACAATTCTACAGCTTGGAAGAGCGGATAGGTACAAGTATGTTATGGATTTCAGGTATCCATTAACAGGTTACCAAGCATTTTGTATAAGCTTGGCTTCAATAGATTCAAAACTTTGTTGCGCCATGTAAGTGAAGAAACCCCAGCACTTTGTTCCTAGTTCAACCTCTGAACCCAAGTTTTCTTTTTCTATTCCCAAGCTTCACTAAGCTTAAGGAAAAAGTGACCATTTTTTTTATAAAATTGACAAGCTTTGCTGATGCAACATTTTGAATGCAAATATTTCATCCTAATTTAAGATTTTAATAATACTTTATTAACTCGAACCATTTAATGTCAAAAATAATAATTTATTTAAATTTCTGATCCGGACCAGTCCGATCGGATTATACGCACGTCTATGTGTACTTTAATCTTACCAACAACTTGTAACAGCCTCAAAGAGCTGATAAGTTAGATGAAGAGAAGCAACTGTCGACCGCCCAAATATATAGCTCCCGACAACCCAAACCAAGAACCTGATGTGTCTCACAACCTACATAACTAACCCATACCCGGTCGCCGAAAAAACACACCCCAAAAATAAAATACTTGGCTTCGTAGCAGCTACCAAATTACAATACTATGCGTCCTTTAATTAATTACACACTTTCAAATTATACTATGTTATATTTAATAGTGATTTTCTTTATTTACTAGAAAAGAAAATTGAATTTGTATTCTTCCATTTCTGTTATAAATAGAGGTTTTCATGGATGGATATTGCAATTAAATTTTGTGTTTATGGTTCGATTTATGAATGTGGTTAATTTTGAGCA